TTGGGGTACATGGACCCTTAGGGTATGGGCTGCCTTGTTCTCTGGTTTTCGAGCTCCAGGATGCCAGGGCGGCCTGCAGGTAAACCCGCAAGAGCATCAGCACGACACATATGGGTAGTTCTCTAAATTGGAGTCCCTTTTGGGGTCCCTTTTATAAGGGTGCCGTACTATATTGGGGACCCAAAAAGGGACGCTAATTTAGAGAACTACCCATATTCAGGGCTTAGGGTTAAAGGCATCAGTAGGAGGATTTTATAGTAGGAGGGGTGGTTGAAACTGGCTAGACTCGTGCCCAGTGGGAAAAAGGGCGTCAGTAGGAAGCAGAAAGCATAATGTTGGTGAGTTTCAGAGTCCATTTGACAATGAAGCTCAATAACCTCGTCGGGAATTGTACCATCCAGTACATCGAGACACCGAGAGTTTAGTTTCCAGTACTATATGGATCGATGGGCTTTCACACAGGGCGGTTTACAAAGGCGAGTATGCCTGCAGTGCCGCAGCATGGGGAACAGCCCAAGCGACTCAAGCAAGTGCTTTTTGTCAGCTACCGGTGTGACGGCCCCACCAACCCAGGCAGATGCCTCACCTCACGCACGAAAGTGTTGACATCGTGGGCGTTAACGCAGAAGCACCTCGGCAATGAATGCACTGCTTTGGGTCCGTTCTTCAGGAAAGGCTTTTGAGGGCCAGCCCTGGATGCCGGCCCAAAACACTTTGATCACAGGGCTTCACTCCTGACCGAGCATAGAAACATAATGAATATGCACCCAAACCCTGCTCGAATTTAAAGTTCTAGAAATCCGGGTTAGGGTCTACGGTTTAGCGTCATATATTCAGGTATGTCGAAGGCTCACTTGCATGGGACCTGACAATCGTCGAGTCGAGTCAGAACCCTCATGTTTCACTAGTGCAGTACGTGAAAGCAAGGTACATAAGCAGTAATCAGTGACCATAATGGCATTGTTAACCATGCCCCTCCTTTCGATTGAAGAGCAATCTAAATCTAAGCTCAGCAGCCGCTTCGGAAGCTACACTGCAGGGTCCGACAGCAGCATCCAGAGCCCAGTGCAAGACACAACGGCCGTCGATCCCGAATCTCAAGCCAACACCAGGTGAGAAAACCACCATCAATCTCGAAGCACCAGATGCTAGAGCGACCGTCAATGCCCGAAACTCGTTTCAAACAGTTTAAAGACCATATGTAGCACTAACGGGTATGTAAGGCCAGATGCGGCGACCCAGGTGTGTGTATACAAGCTGGGCATTGCTACAAGTCTTGCTGTTTCTGTTGGTTCTAGTGCTTTGTGATTGACGCCGGCTAGAATGTATTGCTTCATGTTCCAGAACAGGTTCTTGCACCTGCTATCGTTTTACGTGTGTGTATATATATATATGTGTATAATATATGACATAAGGAAGGAATTCTGCTATTGTTCTTGCATGTGAAGTTTTCTCCCAATCCCGGCGGCCACAGAAACATAATTCGGAGGTGCCAGAAATTGGGCTCAGATGGCGTTTCGAGCTTTCTCCCATCGCGGGCTGGCAGGACTCCCTGCAGTGAGTTGGTTTGCCTCTCGTTTCAGTTCATTAAGTATTAACGAAACTAGTGCGTGATTGTATTCTGTTGAAATAGGACCAAGTTTAATCCCTAAACCCTAAACCCCTAAACCCTAAACCCTAAGCCCTAAACCTTTTCGGGTTTGGCCTTTTTGGTGTTGACTTGGCTCCCAGGAATGACTGGCTGGGCCCTACGGCCTTAAGCCATCCCTAAACTTCAAAACCCTAAACACGGCGTCCTTTGCAGGCCAGGGTTCTTTCTCTCTCTCTGTCTCTCTCTCTCTTTTTTTTCTCTCTCTCTCTCTCTCTCTCCCCTTAACTGCTACAATAACCCGGAAATCCTGAAGAGTAAGCCCTAAACCCTCAAAGCTCTAAACTCTCCCCGAAATCGTTGATTCAGAGCTGCACAGGCCGCCGCCCTCAGCCACGGCTAAGTGCAAAAAACTCCCCGGGCCTGACACATGGTGTAGAAGCTTAAATCACTTTAGGGTTGAGGAGGAGAGTTTCGCCCAAAAAGTGTGTCAAACGGCTCATTCCCTGCATTCCGGGGCCTCTTGCGACAGGACCCTAAACCCTAAACCCTAAACCCTACACCCGACAGGACCGCAATGGCTGGTGGGTTTACACCCTCGTGGCCTTCCCAGTGACGCTGGTTCTCAGCGTCGGCATGGGCATTTTCGCCACTGGGACAGAAAGTGTTGTGGATTTCCCAAGGGAGCTCGATACCCCTTAATTAAGGAATAGACCTTAAGTTATAAGGGCCTTAATATTATGATTTAAGGTATAATCCTTAGTTAATGGGTATTGGGCTCTCTGGGTCATGGAGTCTCGGGGCCAGCTCTGATTGAAATCTTGGACTAACGGAGCCGGGTTGGGACCTTGCATAGATACAGAAAGACGGACAGACAGACAGACAGCCAGGCAAGCAGATAGACAGAGACAAGTGGACGCGCGGACGTGCAGAGATACATGTGCACGATAAAAACGTCTTTTCGCTGGGGTAACACCTCACTACGGCAGACTACACCACACGAGTATGATCTATTATGCCAGCGGGGGTACCCTGAAAGACCATACCAGAGGCATGCCGTCATAGGATCCGGAAGTCACGACCACGGGCTGGTGGTTCGCTATGCTTGGGAGAATAATCCCTTCCCCTTCTTAGTAAACACCCCCTCCTAATAATTAAAACACGTTGGGGCGAATCCTCCTGAAGCCATCCCTGCCCTTTAAAACCTATCCTGAATTAGGGGAGGGTTTCGAGGCTCCAAACGCCCTTAGAGCACAGTAAGAGCAAGAGCAATAGTAAGAGCAGGAATTAGAGCAGGAGCAGCGGCAAGAGCAAAGCAAAAGCAAAAGCTTGAGTAAGAGCAAGAGCAAGAGCAAGAGCAAGAGCAAGAGCAAGAGCAAGAGCAGGAGCAAAAGCGGGAGCAAGAGCAGGAGCAGGTGCAAGAGACGCAGCAGAAGCAAGAGCAAAAGCCAGCGCGGGAGCAAGTCACAAGAGCCCGACCCCTCCAAGGTGGCAGTAGAGATAAAAATGCCACCAGATAGTAAACAAAAACTTTCCGAGTACTTATTGGGGAGAGGCCCCTCCTTTAATATTAGGGGAGAAGGGATATCAGGTAGCATCTATTGTTTTCCGGACTACCAGGAGCATTGTCATGCTCCACCAGGGCGGTGGTTCGCCATAACACTACATGGAAGTTTCTGAAAAATAGGGATACCTTATTTCGGGGTCCTTATAATAAGGATCCTACTATTTAGGGTACTGTATTAGGGTCCCCTGTTTTCGGAAGCCCTCACATTACCCTACGCTACATTACCCTACGCTACACTACATTGGTCAATGTTGGTTACGGTACATTGTTTGCCTGGCTTGCTGCGTGCGTCTCGACCGACCCACCCACCCAGCCGCCCGCCTGCCCGCAGGCATGCATGCAGGCAGGGAGGCGTACATGCATACATGCATACATTACACAGATGGTACTCTGGTACTCGTAGAGAGACAGATAGATAGGCAAATAGGTAGGCAGGTGGGTAGACAGATACCAAGGTAGATAGACGAAGAGACATGTTCGAGTTTGTTTCCGCATATATGTGGGGTTTGTTTTGTGTGTGTGTGTGTTTGTTGTCTTCTGTTTTTTGTTTGTATTTTCTCTCGCTCTCTCTCTCTCTCTCGCTCTCTCTCCTATCTTCGGAAGAAAATACAACATGTGCATGTACTACACAAGTGTGAAGGTGCAGATGAGGGTATGTTTTGTGTTAATTGTTGGCTACTCGTATTCGCGCGTGCGACGGAGGGAGGGTATTTACGATGCAATGCAAACCCTACAAACCCAAAGCAACAACCCTAAACCCTAAGCCCTAAACCATCGGCTGAATAGTAGCTTGGTTGTCGTGAGTGCTGAACTACTGGAAGCCGTGCCTGCTTGTGCGAGCG